AACTCAGCCATGCTAAAACCTTCAGGCTGTCCTAGTCCTAAAATACAGTAGAATGAGTCCAGCTCCAAGTTTAATAGACAACATTTAACATCTCTTGCCTTTGGGTGGGTCTTCTGTCTTATTCAAGCAGAAGTTAAACCCTCGCTAAAATCTGCAGGATGATTCATCAAAACAACCCTTTTCACTTCTTTCTGGGCAAGTAAACAGTCATTTCAAAGCCTGGAGCACCTAAGAGAAGTTCCTCCATTCCTTGTTCAGCTGCCTGCATGGTCTGGCACTGAGCTGATCAGATTACCAATGACACTTCATCAAATGCCTTCAGACACACAAACAATGGGATTCGGGCCTTTTGATGAGATATTTGTAATGAAAACACAATTGCTGCCCAAAATTCAGGGTTTAAGGCTCTGATTTTAACATTTTTTAGCTCAGAAATAGCTGAGCAGCTGTGGATTGCTGGGAGCTCTCTCTAGGGACCCTCTCATGGTAATGAGTATAATTAACAACAGGATCTGGTTTGTGGATGTTAACTGGGCAGGGTCTGGTACAAACGTTACTCAGAAGGATTGAAATCCAAATGAATAAGAGAAAGAGGACAAAAGCATTATTTCCTCCATGTCACAGATAAAGATACACCCAGAAATGGACCTGCCAAAGATCAAAGATGGAATGAGGAGCTCATCCAGGTCTGCGTTCCTTCCTTACATGACTCAGAGACCTGCCTCTGTCTGGAAAATCATTTTGGGTGGCAAAAAACTTTGGGTTGGAATCAGATGGTTTTAAATGTCCCTTCCAACCCAAACCATTCAATGACACCATGAACAACAGGGGACAGTTCATGCTTTCTCAATAGAGGATGAAAGCCAAATAAAACCCTGTCATGGATCCTTGCCTAATATGTTCTTACAAAATTCCAGTGGTGGGTATTCAGAATCCCATGGACAAGCTTTTGCCTGTCTTTAGAGGTGCAAACTTTGATATTAAATAGCTCCTCTTTTTGTTTTCTAGACTTGCATCCCTCTCACTGCTTTCTCCCAAACTTTGACTAATCCAGAACTTTTACACTGGACACAGACAATTCCAGCACATCTTGCCAGAGCCAAGCACAAAGATTGCTTCACCAAGGTTGATGTGACACTAACCTGACCTGTCTGTCCCTGCCTGGGGACACTCTGCCCTGTGTTTAATGACCCTCCTGACCTCAGGCTCTTGGTGGTCTCCAGGTGTACAAGCTCTTCACTGCCATTAATTCATTCTTCTCTGAAGATTTTAGGACAAAATCTGCTGTCACTTCCTTCTGCTTCCCTCCACTTTGGAGAGATGTCCCTTAACAAGGGTATTGCTCACAGATGAGCTGATATATTGAGTATATTAATGACTAAAGTCATGTATATATATGTATTTATTTCCATGGTGCATTTAAGAGCCTGGAATAAGCTACCAGTATGGCAAGGTCTATGTACCAGTAGAAAAAAAAAAACCCAGAGTGGGGTTCAGTTCCTTTCCCTCCCCTCAGTCATTTAGACTCATTTCCCAATGAATCGATGGAAACAGAGTTGCCTCATCTGAAGATAGGCATCTAAAATAAACCTGCTGAATCACAGCCTTTAAGCATCTTTAGTTGCTCAGGATTCCCTTCATCCATTTAGGATTTGCTCTCTTCCAGCACCCTTTGCTACCCAGGGAAGGATGACACCTCCAAGCAGCCTCCAAAAACCATCTAACTTCTGTAGATGTACAACAGAACAGGCACTGCATGTGGCAAGAAAACTGTGGAGAAACAGCAGCTGAGCATTTAGAAAGCACCCCATTTTTGCAGTTTGCAAGTTCCTCAAAATCAGCTTGAATTCTATTCTTTTTTATTCTTTTTTATGTCCCCTCACTTTGCCGTTTCTTCTCATGGGGTTTTTTACTCTCTAAGAGACAGCAAATGGTGTAGCTGGAGCTGCCACAAGGGTGACTACACTGTCCCAAACTCTTTGCCCTACCTGCACAAATTGCACATTTTTAAATTTTTCCTCCAACAGCAATGGCTATTGCAGAAGCAAGCAGGCACTCTGAATTTGTTGGACCAGTGATCAGGGCTGCTGACAAGCGTAGATCTGCTTTCAGTACTCTCCTGGGGGAATCTGAGCATCACTCAAATTTACCTCTGTCTATGAAACTCTTGAACGCCAAACCCCAAACTTTCCCTCTCAAAGTTACTGCCCAGGAGGAGGAGGTGGAGAGTCTGTCAAGCAAGAATAGGCACATGGTTCATCTTCTTCATTGTGGCTACAGGGTTTGCTGGCCTTTGGCTATGAAATCCCACTCTACGTCCCCTTCACTTCAGGAGACATCACTTTTGTATCTGTTCTTCACTGGGGACTTTGAACACTTTTTTTTAATCTGCAATTAAAAGTCATGTGAAAAATCAATCTCCCTTCAACAGCACATTCTTCTGAAGGAATTTCTTCCTTAAACCCCCGTCTCCAGTCAGTTGTGCTTTGTCCCATCATGCAGAATCTCCAGGCAGTGTGTCCTGCCTTCATCTCCTTCTTCTGTTTGCCCTGCAGGAAATTCTCTTTTTTAGATCCCAAAAACTTTGTGTTAACTCATGAACAGGAGTTTGTTATCTGCCTTCCACTCTCTGATCTCTGCAGGAGTTTGAGTGGGGAAAAAAAAAAAAAAAAAAAAAAAGAAAAGAAAGAAAATATTTAAAACCACATGTTGCCCAGAAAGAAAGAGTGCTCTTTCTTTCTGGGCAATACGGGAGTGGCAGTGAATTAGGGTAATGGTAAGACTAATGCTCTGCTACATAGCAGAGCAGCAAAGTTCCTCCTGCTCCTTGGCAGCGTGGAGCTGAGCTCTGAGCAGGGCACGGATCCCTCCAGGGAGCCTGGAGCCAGCCCCTCAAGCCGCGGGATACGGGGAATCAGCCCCACTGCCAGCGGCTGAAACACCAGCGGGGCAATAAAGGGAGCACAGCCGAGGATTTCCAGGCACGGAGCCCCATCCCCGCATGAAAGAGGAGCCTGCTGCGCTGAGAATCTCCTTCCCAGATGCTCACAGGAGCTGTGCTGCCTTCTGAAGACTGAAGAGGTGGGTGTGGGGCAGACACAGCAGCTTGGAGTCTGCTCTTCCCAGCATCAGCTATCTCCACAGGCTGGGCATTATTTGGTAATGATCACAATTATAATGCTCAGAGATGCTTGATGCAACACTCACTTTTCATGTATATGCTTAGATAATCTGTCCTTTTCTTCCTTGGGATTATTCCTCAACTTGTTCTATCTGGTAGGAAAGAAAATAAGATCCAATTCCATTTTAGTGTACTGAAGTAAAATACCCACAGTGTGATACCTACCTATCTCTCCCTTCCCCCCTCCTCCCTGCCTGTGAACTGGGAATTTTGGGGCTTCAGAGTTTGAAATGCTTTTGCCTACAGGAAAGTTCAGCATGAAGGTTGGAAAATAGGACAGCTGTTACTGCTTAAAGTGCGACCTGAGGGACTCATCCCAAAGGACACTTAGAGAGTCCTTCCTCATCTGGGGTTTTACAGCCACAGCCTTAGTGGTGGTTTTTCACCTCTGATTAATAACTGGGACAGAAATTCTATATCCACATGGAGATATTGGGAACGGTTTTGCAGCTCCCACTTGCAGCTCTGCTCTCCGTGCCCCCCAGGTCTCGGTTCCCAGGCTAATCCCCACTTTTCCATCTGAGGTACCTTTTCTCCATATTTAGTCAGCAAAGGCTGAGCTTGGCTTCCAGATACCCTGAAATGTTGTGTCACTCACTAGGAGGCTTGCTCCTTGCAACATCTTCTGCTTGGCTTTGGAGTTGCTTTTCCTTATAGATTTTCAAAATTGGCAGCTCAGCTGGACTAACACTTTAGTGGGGAAAAGTCTCGCTTAATAAAGAAACTTGAGATTGAATTCTGGGTTTCTAAATCTGCTGCAGAGTTTGTATAGTCCTGAATTGTGTCCTGCAGGCTTCTGTCTTTCCTAGAACTGGTCTCTGAAGGTGAGCTAATAATAAGGATTGATGCCTAGCCCCATAAAGAAGGGAAAATTCAGGCAGGAAAACACACATGGATCTCTCAGTTGCTGTTAAACAGTGCTGGGCTGGAAATGGTTGGTTCCACTGGCTGGAGCCAGCTTGAGGAAAGCACCCTAAAATAGACTCCTGCTCTATTCATATATGGGAACCCTAGCAGCGAGTGTGGCTTCTGGGAATCGCATTGTTCCTGTTTTTGTCTTCTCCAGGGGGGTGAGGATCTGCAGAGAGCACGAGAGCATGGCCCTGTGCACACGGCAAACTCCACTCTTCCCCTCAGAGCAAGCCAGGAGCTGATGTACATGAGCTTTAATTTGCAGCCCAGGACCTTGACTGATGAGTGCTCCATGTATGGAAAGCTCTGACTGACAGCTTAAACCCTGGATGGGGAGTGATGGGTATCTCAAACAAAACTGCTGAGCAGGCACAGCAGCAACCTCCACCCAGTCAGGTTTCTAAGCCAACTTTAAGGCAGAATCAGGACTAACACCAGGCAATTAAAAGGATCAGTGATTTCCTCTCAGGAGAAGCTACATTGGAGACCCTTTGGAATATTTACTTTCCTTAAGTACAGAAAACCTTCCCCAAAAGACAGAAATTATTTGAACCTTCAGCTCCAGTATTTCTTATCACATAGCCCTGGAAAGTGGGACAAACGGCCTCAGCTTTTTGTATCCCCACTTGTGCACCCCAAGGAAAATGCAGGAGGAGTTAAATTAGACTTGGAACTTGTGAGTATCAACCATGTTATTCTGGTGAAAGCTTAGGAGAAAGGGTAGGTTTTCTAATATGTTTCTGGATTTTTCTCATTGCTTCTGGTCCTGCAGTCCTAAAACACTCTTCAAAACTCTTTTCCCCAGCAAGGCTAAGCAAATGTTTCCTATAGGACCTTCCTGATCTTGTCACTGTTCCTGCCTGGAAAGGGGGTGAAGTTCAGCAGCCTCACATGGACATTATCAGCCATGGCTTTCCTTCCTGGAAACTCCTCTGAGTGCTCCAACTGCACCCACTCTGTGGAGCCCGTGAACATTTCCAAGGCCATCTTACTGGGTGTTATTCTAGGGGGGCTGATTGTTTTTGGGGTTTTGGGTAATATCCTGGTTATCCTGTCCGTAGCCTGCCACAGACACCTCCAGAGTGTCACTCACTATTACATCATCAACCTGGCTGTAGCTGACCTCCTCCTGACTTCTACCGTCCTGCCCTTCTCAGCCACCATGGAGATTTTGGGCTACTGGGTCTTTGGGAGGATCTTCTGCAACATCTGGGCAGCTGTCGATGTGCTTTGCTGTACTGCTTCCATCATGAGCCTCTGCATCATCTCCATTGATCGATACATCGGGGTGAGCTACCCACTGAGGTACCCCAGCATAGTGACAGAGAGGAGGGGCCTCCTGGCCCTGCTGTGTGTCTGGGTACTGTCCCTGGTCATCTCCATTGGGCCCCTTTTCGGCTGGAAGGAGCCAGCCCCGGAGGATGAGACAATCTGCCAGATCACCGAGGAGCCTGGCTACGTCTTGTTCTCAGCACTGGGCTCCTTCTACCTGCCCCTGATCATCATCCTGGTGATGTACTGCCGGGTCTACGTGGTGGCCAAAAGGGAAAACAAAGGGCTGACCTCTGGGCTGAAGACAGAGAAATCCCATTCCGAGGAGGTGACCCTCCGCATCCACCGCAAAAACATCCCTGGTGCAAGCAGCTCTGCAGCCAACCCCAAGAGCAAGCACCACTTCTCTGTGCGCCTGCTCAAGTTCTCCAGGGAAAAGAAAGCTGCCAAGACCCTGGGAATAGTTGTGGGATGCTTCGTTCTCTGCTGGCTCCCATTTTTTGTAGTAATGCCTCTTGGTAAGTAGAGCTAACCCCTGTGTGTCTTCCAGCACCTTCTGGGCAGGGAGGGCTGTGCTCGTGGCTGGGTGTAGTAACACTGATCAGAAAAGCTCTGAGGGAACAATTTTGTGCTGCAAAGCTGTCAAAACACCAAAACACTCACCACCACAAAGCAGGGACCATGAAAAAACACAAGTGTTAAATTCGACCAAATCTGGTCTCTGGTGATGAGAAATAAAATTCTGAAAACCAGGGAAGCAATCTTGCACTTCCTCCACATAGAAAATTCTCTTTTCTGAAGTAGAGCATATATTTGTGACCATCTCTACTATAGGAACAGGATCTTTAGGTGTTTGTGTATTTATGTTTGCAGCCAGGTGACTTAAACATGTAAAAGGTCACAATTTACATACATTCAGGGTTGAAGTAGCTGTTCACAGATCTCCTTGAGTGCCCAGCATTGATGATTCCCACTCTAAGGAAAAAAGTATCTGCTTCCTATGAGGAAATTCATCCTGTGAGATACCATAACTCCAAACAAAGTTAATCTTTTAATCCAATTTTTCATATGACCAGTCAGGAGACAGCAGTGAGGGTCCTTCCGACTAATTTTATACTGCTCTGGATTGCAGCTTTTCTGGAAACTCATTGAGCCCACCAGCCAAACACTGGCTCAGCCACCATGCTGGAGGTGAATATTTATTCTCCAGTTGTCATTCCAAAGTGGAGCAAAGCTGGGGATTTGTTCTGCTTTGCTGGAATATAAAGAAGTAATTAGAATTTTAATTAAACCTTGCTCAGTTACCTTTGATGCAGTTGAGGATGGAAAAGCAGAATACTAATTCCATACCTGTAGCTGAGGGTGAAGGACATAGCTCATCACACTGGGTTGGGCTCTGCCATTAAATATTAGGTTTTTCAAACATGGAAACTAAAATCTGTGACTTACTCAATTTCAGGGCTTTTCTTATGGAAAGGGCTTATGCTGTACAAGAAAAATAAAGTAAGATTTTATGGCAGCTTCACGTAGTAAGACAACAATATGGACAATTCAGAAATGGTAAAACAGTCTTACCTAAACATGAAAAGAAAGATTTGGGGATTTTATTTTCCTTTTCTTTTTTTTTTTATTTAATTCTGTTTTTTCAAACTTTAATAAATAACTGGGTTTTTTTTTTTCAATTAATCCCTACTGGCTTTACCAAGATTTGTCAAGACACACAAAAACCTGTTGCTAATGTGAAAAAACCCAAAAATTCAGAATTTTTTCCTCTTGGTCAATACTGGGAAGTGCTGATTGGAACTGTTTCCTAAGGAGAAGCCCTCGAGGGCCTGGCTTGTGCTGGCCAGGATGTCAGCACGTTGAAATGCTGCTTGCCAAGATGATTGAAACATACTCAAAAAGGGTTTGAGAGAATGCATTAAACACACTTTTCATCTGCAAATGTGATTGCTCACAGAGAGCTGTTGTTAATTAATTTGCTTTGGATTTAAGAAATCTTCTCGGCTCCAGAATTACTTTGTATCCTCCTTTGATCCCATGTAAGGAAACTCTGGAGGTTGTTTTCCTCTTTTTTGGGGAGGTTACTGGGTCTTTTTAAAGCATATATTATAGGGCTTTCAAAACCTATTTGCTGCTTTCGTCTAAGGACAAAAAAAACCTGATTAAACAAATGAGTGGCACTAAAAAAGTCCTCAAAAAAGCCAAGGACTCATCTTGATGCAGGGCACTTTCCAAAAGATAACAGCCACTTTCAGGTCTGTCCTGTACCCAGGCCCAATTGGGGTAGGGAAGGGAAGTGATCCTGACAGGGTCTTGGGGTCCTGTCAGGGTCTGACTTTCCAGATGTTTAAAATCCTTTGTTGAAACCCTGGTGGAGGCTGATAGCATCCATGGCTAGGCAACCAGAACTTGCCCAGCTCTGGGGCTTTGTGGCCATGGGACAGACCAAAACATGGTCCCATCAACCAATTCTGGAGGGATTTGACGGATGTGGAGGGGCCATGCAGGGACATCGTTTATAGGTGGACTTGGACGGCTGGACTCAATGATCCAAGAGATCTTTTCCAACCTAAATGCCTATAATTCCATGATTCCATCAGCCAGACCACTCCCAGTGCAGATTGCCCACAAGACAGACACTCTTAAACTGCTACAGAAGCCTCTTCAGACAACTGTGCTCATCATTCCATGCAGCACAACTTCCCCAAACCTAGATTAATTTCACTGTAATCTACATCCCCTTCAAGATTTCCACATCTGTTAATATCCACTCTACCAGCCAAGAACTGCTTCGAAGCAAGAAACATTAGGTTTACTGAAGTGCATCATAAAGCAGGGTGGAAGCCTTTGAGGTGTAGGCATGGGAAGGCCAAGAGGGACGGAAAGATATTGAGAAAGGCACAATATCCATGTTGGCTGATGCTGCTGAAAATAACTGGAGAAACAACTGAAGTATCCCTGCCATAATAAATTATTTGAATTGAAACTGGAGTGTAAATGTACCAGTTGCAGTCTGTGTAAGGAATGTTTTTTCTCTTAGTACCTTGGATTAAGTTTCATTCCAAAGGTTCTGTGCAAAATCCTTCAACCCAATAATCCAACACACCTTCTTCTCATTTGGCTTGAGGTTTGTGGAAAAAACCAGGAAATTATTATCCTGTTGCAGGAAAATAAGTGAGGCCAATATTTGCTTTTCAAAACTTCTGTAACACACAATGTTGTCAGAGCTTTGGTTTCCACTGGTAGAAGTCAGGTTTTCATTCCTGTGAGCAGAACTGACATCAGTGACAGCTTCAACTGACAGTTCAGTGACCACCAGACAAACACAAAATAAAAAAACAGGAAAAAGCAGCTTTGAGCCTGTCTGCATCTCTCAGAGAGGGTTATGGAGAAGAGCCTGAGCTTATCTGCAGCTCCTGAGCCAAGGGGCAGGGGATTTGTGGGGAGAGGCTCAGATGCAGCTTCATCTGGGCAATCAGGGCTTGCTGGGCTCTGGCATGCCCAGTCGCAACCTGCATTTTTGGCTTTTTGTTCTCCTCTTGCAATTTTCAGAAAGGGATATAGGATATATGTAGGTAGATGGATAGATGTAGAAAGACTCAGAGCTGGAAGAGCCCAGAAATCAGTGAAAGCCCCCAGTGATGGAAGGTTTTCATGTCACAAGTGATAGAACAGACCTTGTCGTGGAACTGGAAGACATTTATATGTTGTTCTGGGAATTCTTCAAAAGGTTTCCTTTCAGCAAGATAAAAGACAGTGCTTGGAGGTTGTTTTGAGGTGAAACATGCACAGAACTGATGTAAAAAAGGGTTGGGGGTGTTGCAAAAATGGTTCCTGGCCTGGGACTAATGATTTTTCTTAACAAACTCTCAGAAGAGAACAAGTTCCCAGAGCTTTGCTTGTGGTCTATTTTCTGTGGATCAACTTGCAGGTGTTGCTTTCCAAAGCTGGAAGAAATAAAAAGGGAAAGTCTGAGCTAGGAGACCACAGGGGAAAAAATCCTAAACTGTGCAAGGGAGAGGAAGGGTTTTAGCATTTGTCAATCATTCTCATGATTAAGAAAGCAAAAAAGAGGATCTGCTGGAGGGTGTCTGTGTTTGTGGTCTAGGAGTAAATTAGTCTTGTGAACTGACACAAACACTGTCAAGGGAATCCTCTAATCCTGTCTGCAGATGGTTTCTATTTACTATTTTGTGGTAATTTTTTTTAACAGAGTCAAAGAGGACCACTCTACTTTCATTAGACATAAACCAGAAAAATAAAGTGCATTTTTCCGTCTCTGCTGTTGACACAACATGACCTCTCAGAGGGTCACAAGGCTCAGAGCAGCAACACACATCAACACAGACTCCCCACATTAATATTTCAGCGTTCTCTTAGTGAGAGAGAAAAAAAAGATATAAAAGTGGAAGAAAACCCTCAGAATAAAGCCCCAGCTCTTTCTCTGGATCCCAGCTGAGGGGGAGGAAGGATGCTTGCCCTCCTTGAGTCACGGAGCACAAGTGTGTGTGCGAGTTAAACCATTGAATGGGGAGAATTTCAGCCAGGAAGATAAACAGACAAGATATTTCCATGGCTAGGGTTTTTTTAGGCTTTTTGCTGATCACAAGGGGCATTTTTCATAATCACAGACTGGAAAGGCACTGTTGGTCTGGGCTGATAATTCAGCTAATGACAAAGATCCCATGGACATCCCTGGGCTAACATTTCTCCACCATTCCCAAATCCTGAAATGTGTCCCAGTGACTGAAAACACAGCAAAGGAGGGGAGGAATCAGTATTAAAACCCATTTGTACTAAAAACAAAGGAGGGAAGGTTGATTTGCTGTGCTCTGCTTTGAGAGCCGCTCCTGTGTGTGTCCCCTGTCACAGGAGCCTCATCCTTGTCTCAGAACATCCCTCCTCACGCAGCCACCACCTTGCAGGCCCCAAGTAAAGGAAACAGGAGCGTCATTTTTCACTCACTCTCAAATGCCCCAGCACAATTCAGGGTTGGGGAGTGATGGAAAGGCCGTGGTGAGTGATTCTCCCACCCCACTGAGCAAATGTCAGGATTTGTCTGCAATTTGGATAACGGGAGAGGTACTTGGCTCTTGCTGAAGGAGATAAGTTCTTGTTTCTGACTCCAAGGATTCCAAAATCATGACAGAAAACAAACTCATGAGGCAGCCTGAGACTGACTCAGATTCTCAAACTATTCTCTGGTTGTTTGTTTGTTTGTTTTTTTTTAATTTTTAAGGAAAATTACTATTTGATTTTAAGTGAATGACTTCAAGAGTGAGGGCTTCAGGGCAAATATCAAGTACCTCCAAAATGTCAGCAATGAGATCCAGACCCATTCCACTGCAGTAGGAGCTTGGGAACTGGAATTGGAGTGACAATTACATTGATTTGTGAAACAATGCGATTGTTTGGGTTCACACGGGTAACAAAACCTCAGTTTACCTTCCCATGGTTTTTTATCAGCTTTCTAAATCTGCAGCTGCCCACAGCAAATCTGGAAATAGTTGCTTGC